TCTCCTGAGTTGTGCAGGGTGTAGCCTAGACGGAAACAGCAGGCCAGGAGACAATGGAAAATACTCAGCTCTTCCTTTCAGAGGTCAGTCCCTCCCTGGTCCTTTCAATCAAACTATGAGACCTCACCCTGGAGGTGGCCCTGACTTCCAGGGTCATAAACCACACAGGAGCTACTAAAATTTTCCCAATTCACCCAGTAATTATGTGCTGAGTGCCCACTGGTGTCAGGCCTTGGCCTGGGCTCTAGAGCCATGTCCAGAGGTCAGGATGCCTGGGTGGCCAGATCAAACCCCTTCTCCTGCAGCGTGACTCTGGTGGCCCCCTGGTATGTCAGAAGGATGAAGCCTGGACTCTGGTGGGCACTGTGTTCTGGGGCAGTAGTAACTCCATTTCTGCTATGTACGTAGGAATCACTGAGCTCATGCCCTGGCTGTGGCAGATTTTGGGAGCCAACTGAGCCCACTGGCTCTGCTCCCCATGAAGCCTTAATAAAACAGAGTGTAAGTCAGTGCTTTCTGACTCCTGTTTAGGGCCTCCAAGGCCTCATTTGTCTCCGGAACTTGGGCCTTCACTGGGTTGGACTGGACTGGATCCAGGTCAGGCTGTATAGGGGGTCTCTGGGAGGGTCTGTTTTTAGACCCCCTTCCCTCCCATTTAGGCTTGGCCTCCTCAGAGGTTAGCAAGGAAGGGCATAGGCAGGTGAAAAAGGGCCGTAACAGGGAGGGTGGGATCTGAGGAAGTAGAGCCCAGGTCAGCCTGGCTTCCTAGCCCAAGGCATTGTTACCTTCAGTGTGCTCAGGGGTCCTGGCTTTGAGAGGAGGATCCCAGGAAACTAGCCTACTCAGACCCTGGGCCCTTCTCTTTCCCAAGCCAAATAGGAGGCGCTGGCTTTATCAGCCCAAGGACTCCTGATAAGGGACGCAGGCTGTGACTGGAGGACTCAAAGAGGCCCCCCAGGTGGAGCTCACACACACATACACACACACACACACACACACACACACACGGTGACCTTCCTCTGGGCTTCAGTGAGTAGAGGCCCAGGCAGTCGGGAAGCCCAGGTTTCCCCTATCTGTTCTGGCCCAAATGCTCAGAAGCGGAGAACAGAGAAGGAGTGGGAGTAAGTTCCTGTCTCTTGCAGAACCCCACCCTATTATGATGGAACACCCTTTCATCCTCCTCCTCACCCCCATCTGGCCACCCTGCTCAGTTTCCCTGAGTGCTGCTGTTTGCCTCCCCAGTCTGTGGCTCTATGTGGGGGGCACCTCAAGCGCATACACGTTGGCCCCCTTTCTTTAGTTTTCCATTCACTCAGCCAGGTGCCTGGGTGCATTCTAGCCCTGTGGCTTTTACCTTAGTAATGCCCTACTTCAGAACTCCTGCCCCCCCATCCCCAGCCCCAGCCTGCCCTGCCACCAGGTGGATGTGGACAGTCTCCCATGTTTGTGTCCCTATGAGTCCAGATCCTGTGCTGACACACTCCCAGGACATAAGAACAGCAAGGCCTTCAAGGAGCAGTATGTCCCAAGACTCAGCTCAAAGGGGACAGACAGTCCCCTCATGATACATGACCAGGCAGAGCTGCCCACTGTGGGCTCCTGGATCCTGCTTCCCAGTCCTGGCCACAACTTGAGATTCCTTTACCTCTCCTCCCCTCCCCACCACAAGGGCCCCCTGAGGATGGCTACTGAGTTGTGAGTGGGACTAAAGGCCTTGAGGGCCAAAGGTCTGAATGTCAGGGGCTATATAGGCTTGGAATCTCCATCTTTACTCTGGCCTGCTCAGGACACCCTCAGTTCATTAGCTGACCCAGCCCTGACTGCCATGCTACTGTAGGGCCCCTTCCATCATGGGTGTGAATTGGGAGGACACTGTCCCTGGTTCTTGGCCTTGTGAAGTGTCCCTACATGTGAGAGGGGACACTGGGCACTTGGGGGTTTCTCTTGGGCTGAGTGCTGCCCAAGTGGTAGTTGTGACTTGTCTTCCTCCTCCTCAGAACAGCACTGGCTCCCTCACTATTGAATACTGGGTGGTCCTGACTGCTGACCACTGTGGGGGAGGGGTTTGTCAAGTGAGGCCTGCCTCAGGCAGCTGGAACCCCTGAAAGACTGAAAGCAGTGTCCAGATGGAAAAGGACCCAGGAAGACAAGGCACTCCTAATCTCCTGGCTTCCAGAGATCTTACCCCAGTGGCAGCTAACAACTGTCCGTAACTCCAGTCCCAGGGGATCTGACAACCTCTCTGTCCTCTGCGGGCATTGCATGACACAGGTGCACTTACCTACACGCAGGCAATACACACATACATATAAAAACAAACAAAAAAACCCAAAAAACCCGCGGCTGGAGAGCTCAGGGGTTAAGAATATTGCCTGCTCTCACAGAGGCCCCAGGTTTGGTTCCTAGCACCCTCACGGCAGCTAACAACGGCCCTAGAACCATCCAATTCCAAGGGGTCTGATGCCTTCTTCTGTCCTCCGTGGGCATTGCATGCATGTGGTACACTTACATGCATGTAAGCATATATACATACATGCATGCATATAAAAATAATTAAAAGAAAAAAACTTTGGCATGGGCTAGGGTTCAGTGGTAGAACATTGGCATAGTGTATGTGAAGTCCCGGGTTCAATCTCCAATACCAAAATGATAAGCTTGGCTCAGTTGAAAACATAGAAACTTAATTTCTATATGTGATCTTGCCTGCACCAAGGCCATTTCATCTCTGTGCTATGTGCCCTGAATCCTGGGCATCCTCTACTCAGGTCAGTCCCAACTCCACTCTGGCCCCCAAAAGGTCTGTCAGAACTTGAGTGACCAAAGGACTGTCCACCATATATCCTGCTGAGCCAGGCTATGTCTGCTTACCTCTCAAGATGCTGTCCTTGTCTGCCTGCTCAGCCAGCTCCATCACCAGCTTCCACAGGCTAAGTGCCATAGCAGGCTGAAGCAACATTACCCACAATGCTGAGTATCCCTGCATAGGAGCTTTTTGGAGTGTGAGATGGGTCTTGACTTTTTTTGGTTACAATTCCAAGCTTATTTATAAATCATAACAGTCACCTATCCTTTTTTTTTTTTTTTTTTTTTTTTTTGGAGACTGGGTATACCTGTAGCCTCAGCTGGCCTTGAATTCAGAGATTGGCCTGCCTCTGCCTCCCAAGTAATGGGATGAAAGGCAGGCAAGTGCCTGCCCAGTCTGCTTTTGCTTTTGTTTTTTTTGTTTTTTTTGAGACAGAGTCTCCCTGTAGCCCCAGCTGTCCTGGAACTATGTAGACCAGGCTAGCCTTGAACTCACAGAGATCCGCCTGTCTCTGCCTCCTGAGTTCTGGGATTAAAGGTGTGCACCACCACACCCAGCCTTAAATAATTTTTTTTTAATTATGAGAGTATTGTGCCTGCATGTATATAATAGCACCTGTGCATGGTATGCCTGTGGGAGCCAGAAGAGGTTGTCAGATCCCCAGAACTGGAGTTAGTAGTTAGCTGCCATGTAGATTCTGGGAAACACACTTGGGGCCTTCTGCAAGGGCAGGCAGTGCTCTTAACCATGGAGTCATCTCTCTAGCCCCTATTTCTCATTTATTTAAAATCCTTTGAATCAAAAATCCTCTCCTCTCTCTCTCTCTCTCTCTCTCTCACACACACACACACACACACACACACACACAAATTCACTAAACAGCAGGGCACGATGGTGCATACCTGTATACCTGCAATCCCAGCATTCAGGAGGTAGAAACAGGAGGATCAGGAACTCAAGGTCTTCCTTGGCTGAGTCTGAGGCCAGCTTGGGCTACATGAAACCCTGTCTCTCCCTCCCCCGTAAATAAAAAAGATCAAAATCCTCCAGAAACAAAGAGGAGTGCTAATAGCAACAAGGCCCTGAAAAGAGCACTGCACAGAGGAGGCAAGGCAGCCTCCCCGGCAGCCTCAAGCGTGGGCTGTGGTTCTGCAGCGGCACAGCCTCTGGCTCTCAGTGTGCACACACTCAGCTTGCGGTCTCTGCTGGGAACCTCATGGTTAGATGGGTCAGACCAAGAGGGTCACCTTCCTGCTAGCTAGCAAGAGCAAGTCTGATGTTTTTCCTTCAAAGTCCAAAGTTGTGCTGCCTAGGCCTCAACTCACCAAGGGTTCTTGGTGCTCTCTCTCTCTCACTGACAAGAACCACCAGGAACAGAAGAAAGGGGGTGGGCCCTCATCCACCCGCTGAAGATGGTAGGTCTTTTCTGTCCCTATCAGGGATATCTACCCATGCTCCTCAAAGGGCCACCTCAGAGCTCCCAGGCTGTGCTGGGCAGAGCAAGACCAGCAACAGCCCTGCTTGAGACCCAGCCCCTGCCTGGGGTGGACCTGACAGCAGCTGTCCTACAGACGGCTGTTTCCAGTGAGCTGGTGGGCCAAGGGGCCATGACTCCAATCCCCTCTGCCCCTGCAGCCCTCACGACCTCAATACAAGTTGCGTGTGGCCCTACCCTTCGTGGCCCAATGCCTTGCTTGACTTCAAGTTCTGGGGCAGCAAGACTACCATGCGCATGCAACCTCCAGAGGCCTGGGATACCGTCTGTTCTCTCTGAATCTCCCTCCTTCCCAGGGCTGGAGAAGGTCCCTGGGAAGAGCCTCTGACCAAGCTGCCACCGTGCTGCCCAGGTCACTCAGGTTAGAAGGTAGAGCTGGTGCTGCCACTGAACCTACAGCTAAGTAGCAGGCAGAACCAAGCCACTGTGCGTGCACGTCCAACTTCTCTACACTCAAACTGCAGCTGCCGTCCTGACAGGCCGCGCTCAGACCAAGCCCTCGGCCTAGGCCTTGCATCTGACATACTCCACCTTGTAGAGAAGGAGACTGCTGCCACATCTCCATGCCAGGACCAGCTCCCAGGTGCCCTGGGCCTTGGTTTTCTTCTGAAGAGACCCACCTTTCCTTCACCCTTTTTAAAGTCACTTCTGTGGGCTGAAGGTACATCTACCTTCCCATCCATGGGCCCTCTCACACACCTGTTTTTATTTTTAAAATTTTATTAAATGTAGACTATTAGTCAAATGATTGGAAAATCAATAGTGAAAAATAGTTCTTTAGGGTTTTCTCCTGGTGCAGAGAAGCAACACACCACGCTGCACTGCCTGTCACAGGGGCAGGCCAAAGGTCACAGGGAGCCCTGCGGGTGGGGCCCAGGTACCCTGGCGCTGGCCTGGTGATCCTCCCTGGCCCACAGTGCACTCTCGATGGCTCCTCGGCTTTGGCTCCTTTGAGGAGGCACCCCACATCCTGCCTTATTATAAATATGTACAGATCCCTGGACAATTAAGGGCACCAGGCCCAAGGCAGAGCTGGGGTTGCCTGACCCCAAGCCTGCAGGATGCCCACTTTCAAGACAGATACTTGGGGTAGCTCAGACCACTGCTACCCACTCCTAGCCTCCACACCCCAGCTCTCTGCACTCAGGCAGTGGCCAGGTGGCCCAGGACCCGGCGGAACTGCTGAGTGCTGTGGTCCAACTCCTTGACCCTGTCCACCATGTCCTGGGCAGCAGAGGGTGACGGGTACTGCAGGGCAGCGGCCTTGGTGGTGGCCACAATGCCACGCAGGAGGTCACACAGCAGGTTACTGTAGTGGGTCACTTGGCTGCGTACATCGGCTGCCTTGGCCTGCCGTGACAGTGTGTCCCCAATGAACACCAGCTTGTGTGCGCTGAGGATGACAAACTTGCTGTGTGCCACAAAGATCTTGGGTGGCTGGTTAGTGGCCACGGCAGTGAAGAAGGCATCTACCGCGTCAGTTAGTGTGGTCAGGTTGGCCTCACACTGCTCCAAATAGAAGAGGAGCAGTTGCCGGTCTGATGGCCCAAGGCCCCCTGTCCGTCCCGGCGCCAAGGGCTGGGCCGGCATCCAGTTGGCCAGGTCATGGTCTATGGGACGAGACACTTCCTGCTCCAGTCGCTCAAACTGTTTCAGCTGAGAGAACAGGAAAGCAGGAGCAAGGTTAGGCTTAGTCAGCAGACATGTATAAAACCAGAGCAAGCTGTGTCTGCTAGCAGGGGACTGGTTATGGGGCTTCAGGGAGTGCAGAGGAGGCTAAAGGGCATGTCAACTTTTCAAAACAACATAGACTCCATGTTAATATACATCTATTTCTATTTTAATTATTATAATGGGGGAGAGGTCTCACTGTGTAGTCTTGGCTGCCTGGAACTCACTGTGTAGATCAGGCTGGCCTCAAACTTGCAATCCTGCTTCTGACTCCTGAGCCCTGGGATTACAGGAGTATACCATGACATCTGCCTTATTTTTAATTATTGACATGTATACCCTTTCCTGAGCACTATGTGTCACACATTTTGCAAGCAGTTCACACTCTACTCACTTACTTCCAACATCATCCCAGTGAGGCAGATACTGCTACAAGCCCCATTTGGTAGCAGGGTAACCAAGGTAGGGCCAGGGCTCAGATGGGCTCTTTCTCTGTCTCCCTCTTCCACACCCGAGGAAGGGGTGATGAGATCCCTGATGGGACTGTTTTATTTTCATCTTTACTTTGTGTTGTTACTCTGAGTTTTTTTCAAACTATCTTCATAATCAGAATTGAATGTCCTTAGTATTTTTCAAAAACACCCTTGCTTACTACTGAGAAGTGATCCAAAATATGAAGAAAACTGTAGCATTATTATTTACAAGGGAAACTGGATACAATGTAAACATTCAACAACAGACATTATGTGGCCTATAAAAAGAAGTTATGAACAATGTTTGCTGCTAGGGGACACTGCTGGAGACAGAGGAGGAGTGTGACAGCTCACAAGGGTCATCTCCAGCAGGCACAGGGAGCCCTGCCGAAAGAGCTGCCGGGTGGAAAGCTGCCCCAGTCCCAGCTCCTGTGTCCGCCTGTGGGTGCCAGGACTTGTTCTCTCCTCGCACTGTTTTGTGCCCTCCGCCATGTGTACAGTACTCAAACAGTCACTTCATTCATGTATGCACAGCGGTGCCTGGGACAAGGCTGGATCTTCAAGCATGTAAAGTTAAGAGCTACAGGGCCAGCTCTGGTAACAGCTTTCCAGTGAGTCACATGAGACTCAATGGGTGGTGACAGCTGTAGTCCCAGCTACTCAGGAGGCTGAGACTGGAAGATTGATCAATTGTGCTCAGGAGTTTAAGGCCAGGCTGGGCAACATCTGAGGTTCCCAACTCTAACTAATTAATTAATTAATTAATTAATTAATTAATTAAAGTAAGCCAGAAGACAGAGCTGACTATGTGACAGGCTGGCCAGTGACTGGCTGGGGAAAGGGCAGGGCTCTGACCAGATGGGCCTGGAGCTGTGGGTCTCAATGAAAGGTGACTGCTGGGAGCCTCACCTGCTGCAGCTCCAGTTGGCCCTTTCCCTGCCGCATGATGTTGCCCTTCTCCAGAAGCTCCTTCTGGGTCTTCTCAAACTCTTCCTTCCCCTAGGAAGAAGAGACAAGAACTGGACTGAGAAGTCTGTTCTGAGACACAAGCAATGGCAAGTCCCAGGCATACAGCAAGGGCCAAGGCACCACCAGGTGGTGCTGTAAGCATGTCCAGGCTGCCACAGTGGCCACCAGGCCTAGAAAGAGGCAGCCTCCTAAGGAGCTTGGCACAGGAGGGTGCCCACGCAGAGGACAAACTCGCTCCATATGGCCATGGCCCTCCTGGCATGGCTCCTACATCAGGAGTCAGATCCAAACTCTCTGCTTAGTCTACAAGACCTAGGCACTTGGTCCCCCTGGTTGACCCTTGCACAGGCAGCCTCTCAGTCTAAAATGTTCCATCCTAAGACCACTCAACTGGCATCAAGTGTGCCAGAGGACTCATGCTGAGGTCCATTCCCACCCCACCTTGCCATTCCCCTCATTCTATTCTCTAACAGACTGGAGCTACATCTTTGCCAGAGAAGCCCAGCTCCCAAGACATTTTAGGGCCATCCTGGTTGACAGTTCAGGACTCAAGGACATGGCCATGCTGACCATCAGACCCAAGGTAGGGTATGGGAAGGGTACTGGGACTCATTTGTGACTAATCCTGGAGCCCAAATCTCTCTGACCACAAGAGCCATGTTTGTGGAAAAGGACAGGAAGTGGGTCTTCCTCAGGGTCTCTGCAGTGAGGGTGGCAATCAGAGCCCATGGGCCTGGGCAGGATGAGCACCCACCTGCAGGTGGACGTAGTCGTAATCCTCCATCCAGCCCCCCTCACTGTTCTCGTACTGTCCATCTGGAGAGTCCTGGGAGGTAAACTTAGGGGGTGAGGGCAGGGGTCGTGACTGAATGCTGCTGGCCTTGTCAGTGGGGTTGGGGTGCAGGGAGCCACCCCCCTCAGGCCCTGGGGCGAGGGCCTTGGTCCGTCTGAAGAGCAGCGAGGCATTGCCATGCAAAAAGGAGGCTAGCTGCTTGGCATCCTCAGGCACGGCCCGTGAGCAGGCCACCAGGCGGTCCAGGTCTTCAAGGGTGAACCCTGGGCCTCCCCGGCCACTGTCAAGGACCTGACCATGGACCATCAGTGTCTGGTACACATCCTCCATCTTCTGTAGCTGCCGGCTAAGTTTGGCATGCAGGGTGCGGTCAGAAGTGTGGGTGGCATTGCTCACGGCACTGCGGGCAAACTCAAGTAGCTCATGGACAGCTCCATGAACTGCGGCTACTGCAGCCTTCAGGTCCTGCACCGGAGGCTCCTGAGGTTCTGAGGTGCTACGCCAGCCCCCAGTCCCACTGGCACTGCCCACCAGGTCCAGAAGGTGGGCTACGGTGGCACTCACACCTTGCTGCAGCCGAGCCAGGGACTCCACAGCAACCTCCAGCTCCAGGGGTTCCCGGCCTGGCACCAGTACCTCCAAAGAGGATGCTGATTGGCTGCTGCGTGTGCTACCTGTGCTGGAGGCTGACAGGCGCTTGCCATCTGCTGGGGCCTCTCGCTCAGCTGGTGGGGGCACAGCATACACACCATCATCAACCACATTTCCATCTGGTAGGTCAGCAGGGAGCACCCGTTCACGAGGCACATCATACAAGGTGCCTGGGCCAGGCCGCCGCAAGCCAGGGGGAACATCATAGAGGTCAGGAGCAGGGGGTGGTACATCATACACATCCTCAGTTGGTGAGGAATCTAGAGGAGGTGCAGCAAGGATCAGTGGGTGGCGGGTTGGGTCAAAGGGCTTGGCCTTGGCAAAGGCGGGGGGTACATCATATGTCTCCTCTCGCTGCAGTGGGCCATCTGGCACATCCTTGCTCACCGATGGAGGAACGTCGTACACCTGGGGGACCAAGTGTAGTTAAGGCTGCTGTCCATTTGATCACCCCAAGAGCTAGAAGCAGGACACAAGCCACACAGACCCAGAACCCAACATGATTCTTAGCCACGATGGCCATGACTAAGACAGCTCTGGGGCCAGACGGTGGTGCTTCTCTGTGCCTGCCTATTCACCTGTAAGATGGGGAGCTCTCCCACATATCTGTTGTGAGAACTATATATGTTAATTTCTGCACTCTAACTGCAGCTGTGTAAGTGCTACCCTATCACCACTCTGCCCCACCAACACGCCTGGCACCAGTACCTCCAAAGAGGATGCTGATTGGCTGCTGCGTGTGCTACCTGTGCTGGAGGCTGACAGGCGCTTGCCATCTGCTGGGGCCTCTCGCTCAGCTGGTGGGGGCACAGCATACACACCATCATCAACCACATTTCCATCTGGTAGGTCAGCAGGGAGCACCCGTTCACGAGGCACATCATACAAGGTGCCTGGGCCAGGCCGCCGCAAGCCAGGGGGAACATCATAGAGGTCAGGAGCAGGGGGTGGTACATCATACACATCCTCAGTTGGTGAGGAATCTAGAGGAGGTGCAGCAAGGATCAGTGGGTGGCGGGTTGGGTCAAAGGGCTTGGCCTTGGCAAAGGCGGGGGGTACATCATATGTCTCCTCTCGCTGCAGTGGGCCATCTGGCACATCCTTGCTCACCGATGGAGGAACGTCGTACACCTGGGGGACCAAGTGTAGTTAAGGCTGCTGTCCATTTGATCACCCCAAGAGCTAGAAGCAGGACACAAGCCACACAGACCCAGAACCCAACATGATTCTTAGCCACGATGGCCATGACTAAGACAGCTCTGGGGCCAGACGGTGGTGCTTCTCTGTGCCTGCCTATTCACCTGTAAGATGGGGAGCTCTCCCACATATCTGTTGTGAGAACTATATATGTTAATTTCTGCACTCTAACTGCAGCTGTGTAAGTGCTACCCTATCACCACTCTGCCCCACCAACACCAGCAGCAGCAGCAGTTTCTACTCCGCAGCAAGTGCTTGGCTGGGCTTTGTGTGCTACATTTTGTTTTGCTCAGGACAATCCTATATGATTACTAGTCAGTCCCCTTTCACATTCAAAGTGTCCTGATTTAGAAGACAGACTTTATGGTCCCCTTGCTCATATTCTCTCAAAACACATTGAGAAGGCTTGACAATGGGTTATTTTCCAGCTGACAAAGCTGAGGTTCAGAAAAACACCCAGTTTCTATATCTGTCCCCAAAATAAATAAAGACAGAGATATCAGTCTCCAGTTCAGTGCATACACTCCAGTTCAGTGCATACACTCCAGTTCAGTGCATACACTCCAGTTCAGTGCATACACTCCAGTTCAGTGCATACACTCCAGTTCAGTGCATACACTCCAGTTCAGTGCATACACTCCAGTTCAGTGCATACACTCCAGTTCAGTGCATACACTCCAGTTCAGTGCATACACTCCAGTTCAGTGCATACACTCCAGTTCAGTGCATACACTCCAGTTCAGTGCATACACTCCAGTTCAGTGCATACACTCCAGTTCAGTGCATACACTCCAGTTCAGTGCATACACTCCAGTTCAGTGCCACACCTTCCACCACCCCCAGAAGACTCCGAGGCCCCAGCATTCACTGACTCCTCACCGAATGGTGGTTAGATGGTGGCAGGCCTTTCTCCACACTGGGGGGCACATCATATACATCCAGCAATGGGTCTCGGCCGTTGGGGCCTTTGACAGCCATGGGGGGGGTGTCATATACCTGTGGGGCACAAGAAAAGCTACAGTGATATAATTGCCGTGGCCACCTGGTTCAATGTGAGGAGGGGAAGTCCCTGGGAACCTCCTTCGGGCCCTTGGGCTGTGGATGCTGGGCTACCCAGGCCCTAGCTGGGCAGAGAAAATGCAGCTCTTCAAGCAAGGCCCAGGCCCTGCCCTCCCCCCTGCCTCTGACCTCCAGTATTTACCTCCTGGCCATACTGACTGGGAAGCAGTCCTCGAACAGGGGGCACATCATAGATGTCCTGGGAGCCTGGTGCCAGCAGGTGGCGTGGGATGTCGTACTCGTCCTGCTCTGGCTGGGAGGCCTCGAAAACATAGCCCTGACCCACTCTGGTGGGCACCACCACCTGGGAACAAACAGCTGACTACACCACTTGCCCTGGAAGCCAGTCCTAAGGCTTTACGCACAGGCCCTCGGGGAAACTCTGACAGGTTGGGGAGGCACACAAAGGTGGTGGTTGTGGGTTCGGCAAGGGTGGGCTCAAAGATACCACTTCTCATTCCTCATGCATTCTCTGAACTTTCTGGAGTGAAATGCAGTGCTTGGGGAATAATAGTTAGACCCCTAGGTTTTGTTTAGAGCTGTCTGGTTCTGGGCCAGGGAAACAGAAAGTCTTCACAGCTGAGTGACCCAGTAGATTATACAGAGCAGGGTACACGTACACAGATGTACATTATACACAGATGATGGCATGAGCAGAATAAGGGGCTTGGCTCCAGAGGCACTGCCAGGGGGGCAAAGGGTCAGCTTGCACTGGAGTCCCTAGTCCAACAGGACCAGAGGCTTTATGCAAGGCCTCCTATGTCATTCCTGTTTGACACCTCCCTGCATTAGAAGGGCTGGTTCAGCAAGGGAATGACTTGACCACAGTACCAGTCACCTCCAGACTCTGGGGGTAGAAGGAATACTAGGCTGGGCCTAGAGGAGGTGGCCTGGCAGAGTAGCAAGCAACCTTCCCTTGCCCATAGCATGCCAAAGTGAGGCTCCTGAGAATAACCTCAGACATTTCTTGGGGTTTTGTTGTTGCTGTTTGTTTTTTGAGACAGGGTCTCCCTTTAGCCCCAGTCGGCTTGGAACTTGCTACAGACCAGGCTGGTGTAGAACTCACAGAGTTCCTACTGCTTCTGCCTCCCGAGTGCTAGGATTAAAGGCCTGCACCGTTTTCTAAGCAGATAGCCAGGACTGGCTTGGAAGGTCAGCTACTGATTAAAGGGAACTAACTGAAGGCTGGGATTAAAGGCGTGGTGGTGGCAGAGGCAAGTGGATCTCTGTGTGTTCGAGGCCAGCCTGGTCTACAGAGCAAGTTCCAGGCAGCTGGAGCTACAGGGAGACCCTGTCTCAAAAAGACCAAAAACAAACAAACAAACAAAGGGAACTGTAACTAGAACCACAACCCTATGCTCTTAGCACCCAAACCATGACCTGCCTTGGGGTCACTGGTTATGGGGGGGGGCAGCCCCTTTGTCTTCAGGGCCTTGACCCTGGCCTAGGGTTCATGGCAGTAGGCCACAGCAGCAAAGGCATGGCAATGTACAAAGGGTAGGCAGGGATGGGGGTCTACCTTGGGATGCTCAGACCTCATCTGATCCCAGACCTTGCCTTGCTGTCTCCTCACAGCAGCATCCAGCCTAGGAAGGATGGGGGTGTGCCATGCTGCCTCCCTTCTACAAGACTCTCCAGCCAGGCGCAGGGCAGCCTCTCCCACAGGGCTCCCTGTTCAGCCAGGCTTCTCCAAAGAAAGGCCTTTTGTTTCCTAATCAAAGGGGATGTCTGGGACAGGGTTGAGTCAGGGCCTCCAACACACATACTCTCCCTCCTTCAGGGCTTAACACCCTAGAACCCCACCTAAGCCCCCAGCAGGCATGCACAACCCCCCTCCCAGGACATGGTGGCTTTGGTGGACGCAGACCTGGCAGAGCCTCCTAGGCAGCACAACCAAGCCAGGCAGTTGACATTCAGGCCAGCTGGGCTTCTGAGCTGCCTCTGGCAGAAAGCCTGGCAGGGTGGCATGTGCCACTGCCAGGGGCTGAAGGGTCTTCTCTGTGGGGTGTCCCCATCCACCAATACCAGGGCCTGAGGGTGGATTACAGCTGCCTCTCCAGACTCATCTCCCTGCTCAGGCCTCAGACTTGAGTCTCCTCCAGGGCTATTTTTAGATGCTAGACTCTGCCAATGGTAGATCGGCTGGGGCTAGAGGGACGTGGCAGGTTGGACAGGCCTGAGGGTAGGCCTGCAGCTTCTCTGGACCCATGGCCTCCCAGGTAAGGACCAAACCCAAATGAGCAGACAGCACACCCCTCAGACAGCAGTAAGCCAGGGAGACTATGCATCCTGCAGCCGTCTGCGCCCATCTGGGACCCATGTAGACAGGCTGCAAGCATAGGAGAGGGCTCTCACTGCCAAACCCAGAGAGGTCAGTCCCAGGGCTAAAGGGCAGTTCCTACTCCTACTGTTGAGTCAGGTGACAGTAAACAATCATATTGGCTAGCAAATGTTTTCTACTAGGAAAATAGGACAAGTGAGAAGCCAGCAGGGAGAAGAGAAGCTCGTTAGGGAAATGGACTCTCCAGAGAGCTGCTGAGCCCTGCTAATCACAGGCCATACTGCTCTGCACCTGAGGCCTCATTAGCAGGACCTGGAGGCCCCTGGGAGTAGGGGGACAGGACATAGCCAGAGCCTGGGAGGGGACAGTAGAGACAGACAGAGACATCCTAGGCTGGGCACAAGAGGGCTGCTGTTCTCCCCTCCCCTTTTCTCCCCTCCAGGTATCTAGGGAGAGGGAGACTGAATTCAGAAGCATATCCCAACAGTCAGCTCCAAATAGGGATTAAACTTCCAGGGTAGTCCTGGCTCTCTAGGGACCAAGGCAGGCTCTAAGCAGCAGGAGTCAAGTAGGGGTAACAAAGACAAGGGGTATCCCTCCTGGCTGTGCAGTGTGTTGGGGCTCCACCCCTCTAGATAACTTGGCCACCTGATTCTCCTGCTGCAAAAAGGAGAGCATCCCACTAGCCAAGGCCAGCTGCCAGTTCAAGTGCTCAGTCCAGCCCCCCTCCCATCCAGGAAATCTCCTTTTCCTCCTCTAGGAAAATGGTGTATCACAAAAATATAATGGGGGGCTGGAGAGATGGCTCAGCAATTAAGAACACTGGTTGTTCTTGCAGAAGACCCGGATTCGAATCCCAGCACCCGCATGGCAGTTAACAACTGTCGGTAACGCCAGTTCCAGGGGATCCGACAGCCTCTTCTGTCCTCTGCGGGCAGTGCACAACACGGGTGCACTTACCTACATGCAGGCAATACACGCATACACATATAATTAAAAAAAAAAACTAAACATATATATATAATGGGATCAGACAGGTGACCTACTATCTTGCCCAGCACCACATCAGAAGCCCTTTACTGGTCAGGAAGCTTGGGAGAAGGAAGAGTTTTCCAGTTATGACTTAGCTCACACACACCGGCCCCAGGCAGACTGCAGCTCCTGACCCAGGTAAGTTCTTTCAGACGCCTTACATAGATGCCTTCCCTTTTGGGGAAGGGAAGAGCCTGACGTTTAGAGCCTCTGCCCCTCAGCTTCCTGGTGCCCATACCTGGCCTAGACCCTGACCTTGCTTTCTCCAGCCATATACCAGATGGCCACTGTTCCAGAGGTCCAAGTTCTCCTAGCCCCAGCTTTGTTACCCCCACAGTAGTAGGACCCTCCTACCCACAGGTAGGGCTGCCTTCTCAGTACAGCCAGCTATGACCCTGGAGCGAGGGGTCTTAGTTTCAGACACTGGAGGGGAGGCCCTAAGGCCTCTGAAGGCAAGACCTTGAAATGCGGGCGCAGACCTGCACACCAGGTATTCATCACCACGCTCTTTGTAATAAAAACAGCAGCAGCCAGGCATGGTGGCGCATGCCTTTAATCCCAGCACTCGGGAGGCAGAGGCAGGTGGATCTCTGTGAGTTCAAGGCCAGCCTGGTTTACACAGTGAGTTCCAGGCCAGCTGAGACTACAGGGAGACTCTGCCTCAAAAACACCAAAAAAAAAAACAACAAAAAAAAAAAACCAAAAAAACCACGAGCAATCAGAGACCACTTCCAAGGAAGGCAGCTACACAGCAGCAAAACCGGAGCAGCAATACCAGTCAGTCTTGGGGGGGAAATTTAATAACCAAGAAAATGCTTTTGGTATGTTATGTTGGATTTACAACTTCAAAATGCAAAAATCATGTACACAATCACAGTACTCAGGAGGCCAAGGCTTCAGGGGAATTACTATGGGTTTCAGAGCCAGCCTAGGCTATATATAGTAAGGTCCATGCCAACCTGAGCTACAGAGAAGATTCTGTCTCAAAAAAAAAAAAGTACATATACAAATCAGCAAAAGACAAATAGAGCATGCTAGACAAAATAAGCCAACATTTCCCAGTGATTATCCCTTGATTGGGGAATTTATCTCTAGACAGTCCTCATACATTATGCATTTCTTTGACAAACAGGCACTGCTTCCTTGTTCATAAAATAAAAGCAGAGGCAATCACAATCAAGGCTGTCCAGCCCAGAAATGATGTGGCTTTTTAGGAGAGAACACAGGGCTTCCCTTCCTGGGCTACCAGTCAGAGCAGAGGCCTGGGGACACCAGTGTGGGCAGTTCTACCAGCAGGTTGGGACAGTTGGGGGCACAGGTGGGGGGCCTCTGGGGAGAGCGCAGGCCCCTGGTTGGCTCCTGAGGCTTCCCTTGCCCCAGGAGACCAGCTGACCCAGGATAAGGGGTGGGGCTGATGGGGGGAGTGGATCAGATGTGGCATCCGTGAGTGATGGCTGGGACAGGTTCAATGGCCAGGTGCTGCTCTGCTGCCTCCTACAGGATAGCTGACAGGGCCTCAATGGCAGGCTTCTGCTATCTACTTTTCTCTGGTCAAATGGCTCAAAGTACAGGTAAGGCAAAAAGAGGGATCCAGTGACCTAGGGACCTCTGTGGTCAGACCTGTGTGCCAGTGTCCATGAAATCTCATCCTCTGCCTGCTCATGGCTCCTAGCCAGGTTAGTTCCCAAATTGCTCTGTGGGCAAGGCTAGGTGACACTACCTGCTTTCTAGTTGGTAACAGACAGGTCTCTGGGTAGCTTTGAAGACAGGCTCATGTGCCATGGCTGAGAGTCCAGTTGGTCACTGTCTCTCCAAACACAGATGGCTCTAGACGTGGTCAGAACATGAAGCTGACTTGTCAGAGCATGGGCTGTTCTTTTAAGGGCTGCTGTGCCCATCATAGCTGGCTGTTTCTACCAGGGCCTCTGAGGTACCTGTCTCACTGTGGTATCCCTGAGCACAAGCCATGCAGCTGGGACAGGGTTGGCTGTCATGGTGCTTCCTGGTGGTGTGGGTTAAGTGTTGGGTCATTGAGGGTGACTAGAGTGGAAGGGCAGGCATAGGGGTGACAAGGAGAGCTAGACATGGCAACTCTACCCTCAAGGTCTGGAGGATACCTCCTCTTCTTCTGGGCCCAGAAACTCTGTTCCCCAGCTCTTGAAAGGGCTTTGGCACTGGAAACACAGACCAGCTAAAGGTAAGGAAAAATTGCTCTCAGCTCAGCATGAAGTGGGGGGTCGCCTTCCATACAGTTGGGTGGAACATGGACCAACAGGATTTAAGAAGCAATCTATGCAACCTCCAGGAAGGATCCTTAGAAAAGGCAGTCCCAGGGCTGGAGAGATGGCTCAGTGGTTAAGACACTGCTGTTCTTGCAGAGGACCCAGGTTCGATTCCCAGCACCCACGTGGTAGCTAACAACCATCTATAATTTCAGTTCCAGGGGATCTGATGCCCCTATAACTGGAGTTAAGGACATTTGTTAGCCATCTGTTAACTGCTGAGGCATCTCTCCAGTCCCGTAAAGTAATTTTTTATTTTATTTTATTTTTTTGGTCTTTTTGAGACGGGGTCTCCCTGTAGCCCCAGCTGTCCTGGAACTCGCTATGTAGACCAGGCTGGCCGAGAACTCACAAAGATCCGCCTGCCTCTGCCTCCCAAGTGCTGGGATTAAAGGCATGAGCCACCACACCCGGCAGGTAAAACATTTTTGAAAGAAATAAAAAGGCTTTTGCTTCCTGGGCTGCATAGCCTCCATGTCCTGGTGCCAGCACCTTTCCTGGGGTTTATACTGAGCTCAATATTGCATAACTGTATTAATTCAACTGTGAACCTAAAAATTTACAGCCACTTGTGAAAGAGATGTACTCTTGCTCTGGAGTGTGTTACTGAATACTGAATGTGGTAAAGCTGTAATGAAATGCTTCTTCTGATCATGTGGTTATTAGATTTTAAAGATGAATAAAAGAAAAAGCAGCCTTTTATCCCTTCTTTCTCTTTTCCTGACAGCCAGAGAGCAGACCCAATGGTCAGATCTCAAGCCATCCCATGTTAGTCCTGGCCTCCTCACCTCCAGACGTGGTTTATGACTGGCTGTCTTTCTGATTTCTCCCCTTTACGTCATCACTCAAGTCTTACAACCGTCTTGTCCTGGGCCACCAGCTCTGTGCTCTGCTGCACTCTCCACTCTGGTCAGAATAATTTGACCTGGACATGTACTGGGGCAGGTCTCTCCTTCTCAAAGCCCTACACCTCAGTTCAGGCATCAGACCCCCAAGTTTGTCCCTGGCCTGTTACTCTGGCTTTTCCTGCTCAGCTGGAATGCAGGACACTTCTCCATACCCCTAGGCCTGTCACAGGTTGTAACCTGTGGCTAACATTCTCCTATTCAGGGTGGCCTGCTAAAGGCACCCTTTTCCTCCAAGGCCAGCTCCATGTCCCCTATTTACCTGTATGCACCAGATAAGTGAGAATGCTTCCCCAGACACCTCCTTTCTTGACCTCAGACTCAATGCATAGCTACTGCTGGAGTATGGGGACTGTGCTTTGGCCAGGTCCTGCTGGGCCCAGCACCAGGGCCTGGCTAACCCCATGGGTTGCACAGCTGTACCAAAGTGGCCTTACCTTTGCCGGTGGCTTTGTTCCTTCCCAGCTGCGGGTATCCATGGATGGGGGGACCTGGTAGATGTCATGCCCTATGCCAGCAGAAGGTGGTACCTGGTAAATATCCTGAGCAGGACTTCCAGGCCCTGGGGGTACCTGGTAAAGGTCTGTGGCTGGGCTGGGAAATGGGTGATGGGGTGTCTGCTTTGAGAATGTGCTCGTCTGCTTGGCTGGGGGTGACTGGAACTGTGGGCTGGGCCCAGGGGCTTGGTAGAGTCCTTGCTGAGCCTTGCTGGGAGTAGGTACCAGATAAACACTGTCAGGCTGGGACTGGTATGCAGTTGGGAGCATGGGGGTATACTGGGAAGCTGGGGGCACCGAGGCATTGAGCCCCTGGGGGAGGCCAGGCTGGGGTTGGGGTGGGGTGGCAGGAGGGCCTGGACCAGGTCCCGCTGGCTTCTTGTCGTACATGCCGACCAGGATCTTGAGGCGATTCCCAGGCACAATGCCCTGGCGCCCATGCAGTGAGCAGAGCCACCATCCATCCAGGCCCTGTGTGTCCCGCTCCAGCACCGTCATGATGTCGCCCTTTCGGAAGGAGAGCTCATCTGGGGACTCAGCTACGTTGTCATAGAGGGCTTTGGCCAGCACATTCTGGGGAGAGAGGACACAGGCAGGAATGAAAGACAGGAGGATGGGCCTCACACAACTCCCACCCACTCCAGGATCAGTAGGTACCTATGCTCTCAATGTCTCTGCCTGTCTGCCAGCAGAAAAGCCCAGCTGACCCAGTGTGTCTTTCAACTGAGCTGGAGGCCCTCAAATCCTCTCCACAGTAGAAGCCATCATCAACGCTGCAGAGATGGCTCTCAATATGCCACTAAACTATTCCTAAGGTCATGCAACAGTATATACCAGGAAGGCCAGGAATGGACATGGAGACCAATGAGGACCTCAATTGACCCAAGAAACTTAATTTGGCAAAAACCACAGATTCTAGCTGGGAGTGGTGGCAGACATCTTTGATCCCAACATTAAAGAGGCAGAACAGGCAGATCTCTGTGAGTTGGAGGCCAGCCTGGTCTACACAGCAAGTTCCAGGCTAGCAAGGGCTACATAGTGAGACTGTTTCAAGAAAAATCCCCCCTCGCAAAAAAAACAAAAAAACAACAACAACAAAAAAAAAACAAAAACCAAAAAACCCACAAAGCTGGGTGTGGTGGCATAAGCCTTTAATTCCAGCACTTGGGAGGCAGTCTATAAGATCGAGCCCAGCCTGGTCTACATAGCGAGTTCCAGGTCAGCTGGGGCTACAGGGAAAGCCTGTCTCAAAAGACCAAAAAACCAAAACAAAAACAAAAAGCAAACAAATCCACCACAGCTTCTTAAGATAAAAACACTGAAAAAAGTGGAGAAAAATCTAAGTTCATCTACCAAAAAAACAGTAATTGAAAAACTTCAAATGTTCCCTTAAAGCTGTGAAGAAAACCAGATGCGCCCCCACCCCCCCTTCCAGCCCTGGGGCTCAGATCCCTGCTGCCCTGGACAGTGCAGTTTGCCAAGAGAAAGAAAATGATGGAGTGGGGGACAGCTACACATACCACGGGGACAAAATGATCATCGTCTGCAGAACACATGATCACCCATGTGCCCTGATCAGAGCACACAAATGATCCGAACTAGGAATTGAGAAATGTCACATCAAGAGCACAGGACAGACATCTGAGAACTCACTGTGGAACAACTGGACAAGTGTGGAGAAGAGAAAATGTTTAAATTCTGTCAAAGAACTCAAGGAAAAACTTGATTTTTTTTTCTTTTTGAGACAGGGTCTCCCTGTAAGCCCCAGCTGGCTTGGTACTTGTCATATAGACCAGGCTGGTCTTGATCTCACAGAGATCAAGTGCTGTAATTAAAGGCACGTGCCACCATGCCTGGCCAAGGAAAAACTTAAATGCAGGGAAAATGTACCAAGTTCTGGTAGGATGACCTAACACTATAAAAACCTTCATTTGCCCAAGCTGCTTAGTACATCAGCCCACCTGATCCATGGTTTCACTTTCTGTGGTTTCAGTTAGTTACCCATGGTCAACCATGGCCCAAAAATATTAAATGGAAAATTCCAGAAATAAATAATCCATAAGCTTTAAATTACATAAGGTTCTGAGACAAGTGATGAAGCTTCACGCGATTCTATTCCATTCTCCCTAGAACTGAATCACTCTCCTGTCTGGTGTATCCACACTGTGTATACTACTTGTTTGCTGGTTACTTGGTAGCCATCTTGGTTATCAGATCCACTGTCAGATATTGCTGTGCTTATTATGTTCAAGTAAGCTACATCTTACTTAATAACCGATCCAAAGCACGGAAACAGCTTATAACATCTGCCAAAGAGAAGCTATAAAGGTGCTTCTGGTAAGTAAAAGCTGAAAGCTAACATCTTATTGTAAGATCAACATAACTGTTATCACAAGATGCTGTAATTGTCCTGTTGTCATTCATTTCTTAGCATGCCAAATCCATAAATTAACTATTATAGATGACCTTGTATTGAAAACAAAAAACATAGTATACATAGGGTTCAATACTATCTGAAGTTTGAGGCATCCTCTAGGAGTCTTACAATGTACCCCCTGAAAATATGAAGGAAACAGTGTGAATTCACTATATTTTAATTCTAATTTATAATAAAAATGCCATAGGCTTTTTTGTTGTTGTTGGATTTTTGTTGTTGTTGTTTCTGAGGAATATAACCAAAGGAAAGAAACTCTTCTAGAATGAAACGGAGGCATAGAGGTCAATAAGTCAGTTCTGAAAGGCACAGCTGGGTACTCTTTCCCAGCTGCAAGGACAACTCTAAGTGTGAAGCAAGGGGGAAAGGCTATCACTGTGTGAAGGAAGCCATGTGGACATTGATCTCCCATTATAAACAAGGGCATCTGAAACTCAAATGCTAAAGGCCCAATGCTAGGGCAACCAAGGATTTGGAGAAGCTCCTGCAGGCAACAAGGAAAAGAGAAAACCCCACAGCATATGAAGCTTTCCTTCAAGGAAAATCAAATGGCCAGGACCTGCTGACAGATGCTCAGAATTTTGGTGAGTAGAGACACAGAAGACTCATGCCAAACGTCCTTTGGGTGTCCTGGTATTTAAGCAAAGGGAAAGCAGTACCTCCCACCTTTTCTGGAGCTCTTCTCAACTATCACAACCATCCTGAAGCAGGCACTGCTATCTCTTTTCTACAGTGGGCAGATCCTCCCCGAGCAGGAACTTATACTTCATATGGCCCAGGAGCCAAGCAGCCTGTGCTGGGTGGAGCTTGGTGGGGCCATATGACTTGAGACAGGTGGACAACAGTATGGGCAGACAGGAAAGAAGACCCAAGAGTCAGGCGGGGATGCTCCACAGTCTGCTACCATCACTTGAGCAGTCCCACTGTTACTGACCCCCTTGTCCAGGAGCTGGGCTCAAAGATGGCAGAGGGGCCAGGTAGTAAGGGAGGAGCCTGGGCTGGATGTGGCTGGGGCTTCTGGTCCCAGGGCAGCAGAAAACTGTCTGCCTCAGCAGGAGCCTCAGGCCTGAACCCAAGGGAAGCCAGGTTCCACAGGGAGTTTTATGCCTAGCAAAGGCTGGCAGAGTCCCCTTGAGGCAGAGCTAGGCAATTAAGCAGGTCAGATGCATCACTGTGGGCTCCAGCCAATCCCTTATCCTGACATCAATTCTGAGTGTCCTACTAAGTCCCTCCTAAGTCTCCTGGGTCTAAAGACTTGGAAATGGAACCTGGGCCCTAGCTATTAGCTGTGTGACCTTGCCCATTTCAACTCAAGAAGTAAAACCATCCTCTGGCCAGGTATGGTAGATAGTACATGCTTACAATCCCAGCACTTGGATGGTGGGGCTGGAGAATCAGGAATTCAAGGTCATCCTTAGCTACACAGTGATTTCAAGTCCTCAGCTAATGAAATCCCATCTCAGGAAACCAAAAATAAACCAACCAACCAACAACAAAAACAAACAAACCCCCCAAAATACCACCATCCTCCAAAGAATCAAATAGGAGTAGGAATTCCAGGCAGCAGAAAGGACCATGCTCTTAGGGTAGAAATCCAAAGTAGGCGCTGAAGCTCTGAAGTGGAGGAGTCCCAGGACCCTCTGATTTGTCTCTCAGGTCTACTACACTGCTGTTAGAGAGGCACTGGATGGAAGAGAGGCCTCGGGAGTTATCAGCTGGCAGCTCACTTCTCCAGGGCAGCTTGAAGCTCTAGCCCCACCCAGAAAAAGGGGAGGCAGGGGAGCTGGGAACCAAAAGGAACAAGACCCAGGCAGGCAGCACAGGGAGGGCAGAGCCCTGCTATAGTTACTGAACCCTTCCATGCCATGGTTACAGAATTAAAAGTGCACTGAAGAAGCTGGGCACAGCAGAGCACACCTGTATTCCCACTCGCACAGCAGAGTACACCTGTACTCCCAGCACTCAGCAGAGCACACACCTGTACTCCCACACACACAGCAGAGCACACCTGTACTCCCAGCACTCAGCAGAGCACACACCTGTAGTCCCACACACACAGCAGAGCACACACCTGTACTCCCACACACACAGCAGAGCACACCTGTACTCCCAGCACTCAGCAGAGCACACCGAAGGACAACTCTAAGTGTGAAGCAAGGGGGAAAGGCTATCACTGTGTGAAGGAAGCCATGTGGACATTGATCTCCCATTATAAACAAGGGCATCTGAAACTCAAATGCTAAAGGCCCAATGCTAGGGCAACCAAGGATTTGGAGAAGCTCCTGCAGGCAACAAGGAAAAGAGAAAACCCCACAGCATATGAAGCTTTCCTTCAAGGAAAATCAAATGGCCAGGACCTGCTGACAGATGCTCAGAATTTTGGTGAGTAGAGACACAGAAGACTCATGCCAAACGTCCTTTGGGTGTCCTGGTATTTAAGCAAAGGGAAAGCAGTACCTCCCACCTTTTCTGGAGCTCTTCTCAACTATCACAACCATCCTGAAGCAGGCACTGCTATCTCTTTTCTACAGTGGGCAGATCCTCCCCGAGCAGGAACTTATACTTCATATGGCCCAGGAGCCAAGCAGCCTGTGCTGGGTGGAGCTTGGTGGGGCCATATGACTTGAGACAGGTGGACAACAGTATGGGCAGACAGGAAAGAAGACCCAAGAGTCAGGCGGGGATGCTCCACAGTCTGCTACCATCACTTGAGCAGTCCCACTGTTACTGACCCCCTTGTCCAGGAGCTGGGCTCAAAGATGGCAGAGGGGCCAGGTAGTAAGGGAGGAGCCTGGGCTGGATGTGGCTGGGGCTTCTGGTCCCAGGGCAGCAGAAAACTGTCTGCCTCAGCAGGAGCCTCAGGCCTGAACCCAAGGGAAGCCAGGTTCCACAGGGAGTTTTATGCCTAGCAAAGGCTGGCAGAGTCCCCTTGAGGCAGAGCTAGGCAATTAAGCAGGTCAGATGCATCACTGTGGGCTCCAGCCAATCCCTTATCCTGACATCAATTCTGAGTGTCCTACTAAGTCCCTCCTAAGTCTCCTGGGTCTAAAGACTTGGAAATGGAACCTGGGCCCTAGCTATTAGCTGTGTGACCTTGCCCATTTCAACTCAAGAAGTAAAACCATCCTCTGGCCAGGTA